ATCAGGTCCCAGAGAGGGGAGTATTGATACTGAAACGTGTGAGCATAATAACAGTACGTAGAGGGTAGTCTCTCCATGTTAGCTGTCTGGATCTCCATGATATCTGGAGGATCTTGTAGCCAGAGTTATATCTTTATATAAAAACAGATCTGGCTGAGCTCTGTTAACGAGGTGAGTCATTCAGATTGCTGAGATTAGTTAATACTAATACTCAATCTGGTAAGCAAAATAAAAAAAGAGCATCATAATGGAGACCATCGAGTGCTTCAAGACGGAAGCGCTAGCCGACAAAGCTAAGGGGCCGTTCACATATTACTTAATCAGCCGAGGGGGGAGGGGGTTCCCAAATGATTACGTTTGATTTCGGGGGGCGGGGGGGGGGGGGGGGGGGGGGTGTTGGCTGTTGATTACGTAATCAACATTTTCTTTTTTACCCTCTAGAATAATAACAATTCGACAATATTTTTAATTCAAATTCCGCTCAATTTCACTCTGATAGTGATAAAATTTAGGAATGGATCGGGTATCCGGCTGCTAAAGTAAGTAGTTGGGAAGGTGCTTGGCCGGAATCCGGATATCATAACAATTATTTCGGCTCATAATGATCAGGGTAGCATCAAACGTAGAGAAAAGTGTTTCCCAGGGAAAAAAAGTCGAAAGGGGGGGGGGGGGGGGGGGGGATCAGGCCATGATTACGTAATTTCGCTGTCAGGAGGGGGGGGGTGGAGGTTGATAACGGAGGGGGCCGGGGGAGGGGTAAAAATTGCTAAAATATTGATTACGTAATATGTAAACGACCCCTTATGACGTCACATGATGCGATGACGTCACATGATGTTATGAAGTCGCGTGATGTTATGAAGTCGCGTGATGTTATGACGTCAAGTGATGTTATGTATGGACTGACGTATATAATACTTGGGGACTATGAAGCATGATAACATTTGGTATTACACGCAATTGTCTTAAAAAACCTTGTTGGTGGATTGAACATTTCATCAATTCTTATAATTAGTGATTTGTCAGATGAATTTGCTTTAGTTTTTAAATTTATCTTTATTTTTAATTATTGATTTCATTGTTCGGGTTTTGTGCTTTTTAAAGGAATACAAATATAATGTAGACACTTAACATTAATAATTGCTGATTAATTAAATTCTGTGTAACGTAGATTTCATTTTCCAGCTTCGACTTAAAGTTAAAGCTGTGTCCAACCGATTGTGTTTGACCATTTTGTTTTCTGACAACTTAAAAGCTCAAAAATCTATCATGCCCCACACAAACCGTTTTTAACGTCCTACGTACACTAAAAACCCGATTCACCGTTCAGTTTGCGGGAAAAGAAAATAGTAAATTGGGGTTTTACTGTACGTGCGTCGTGCATGATGATTTCGAGAAAAACGAAATCGTCAGGAACCTGTTCAGAGCGTGACGTCACGGTCGATATTGCGAAATCCTTATTAGAGGCCATTATATTTCTACTGCGTGGGGTTGACTATTAAGTTGCTATAAATGAGGTAGTTGACAGAACCACCTGTATTTAATTGCTATTGTTAGAATAGTATTCTACCTATTCACAAACTGTATGTGTCATTTTATTTAAATATCACTGTGATTTTAGCTAATCTACAAGTACTTACCTTGGGACCCCAGGCTATAATGTTCATAAACATATAATAAAGGGAATGATATCTATCAACTGCTTTCAATCCCATGGAAAAATAATGTTCCAAGCCGAGGTTATCGCCGTTCAAAGGTCAGCGCTTATGAGTAATTGTAATGTGTGAGCGATTTTCAATTGCGCGCCCTGAAAATCGAACTTCAAAATCTATCTTCTCCTACAGTTTTTGAGCAATCATCCTGAAACTTTCAGGATATATTCTAGGGATCATTTGAAAGAGATTGCCATAACAGAATGTTGCTATAGGCCTTTTAAACATTTTAATTCGATTTTAAAATTGACAACCCTCTAAAAATTGTATCACTGACCCACACTTTTTAACTTTTTATGCACAAATTATATATATGGGGCATGGGTCGAACTTTATATATAAAGTTCGGCCCATTTTTCTATAGTAATTGTTGATGTTCGATTTGCGATACATTTGATTCTAATCAAATCAAATCAAATCATGTCACCACTGTTAACTGTAGACAAGCGAAATTTTACCATCCGTTATTCTCGGATGATCAGATCATGTAAGTCAGCCATGCGTTTCAACATTCCACACCAAGTTTGTACGGATCTTTTTTGCTATAAATCTGGTCACGTGATATTGACTATAGTAGAGATTACACTAACTCCCCCAGTAAGGAGGCCCTCACTGTTCACGTCCTAAGTCTACGTGTTGACTTATTAGAGCCACTAGTTAAGTGGTACCTATGTCAGGCAGGTCCGTTAGCAAGGTCAAAGGTGCACATCACTCGGCAAAGGGGCACTCTATACACTCGGTGCTTATTTAGGTGCTGACTGCTGAGTCTAGCTGTTAATATTTAATATACATTATTGTGTTCCAATATGTTCTTGCAAAACTAACAAGCTTGATTCACTTTAAAGACTAACATTTTACACTTTCCAAGTATGAACCAGTTTTAAACAGTTTTAACAGTAGGTTCGCTGTTTTAATAGGTTCGCCACAGTATATGAAGCATAATTTAATCCCAGCCGATCAATTTGTGTCCGATGATCACAAAATTTAGTAGAAGGTTGTCGAATGCTTAAATAATAAGTTGATAACTTGAAATTTATAAATCAGGCTACTACTTTAACCAGCCAATGCAATTCTCACTTATCATTAGCCAAGTAACCACATTAATTTATAAATGCAATATTGGATTATAGAGCTCGGGTAGGTGTTATTATGCACTCGTAAGTAGGTAGTTCTGAACAGAGGCCAGCAGCAGTATGGTTTTAGTTCAGTCCCACTTCAGCTGACCAAACACGGTTTAATTTACAGTTTCAGTGTTTCATTCTGACTCTTGTATATATATTCTTGCGTTTGGCTATAGAACGGTTGGCAGTGGTTGAGTAGGAATAAGGTTAAAGATTGAGATTGGTATTTTATTCTTTGTTATTGAAAGTGTTTACTATAAGATGACAGTATGGGATGGAGGCAAGTTAGTTACGACTAAGTTATAAAATTCATTATTTACTTGTATAGTAAGTAATGATATTAGAGTGAAAACTTTACTCCTCCCGCAAAGATTGAAAATCTAGCAATAAGTAAATAAAATTATGAGTAAATAAAGAAAACCATCTAGTAAACAATGGTCAGTGATGTGACCACTTTTCGTTATGAGACACGACTCTATAGTTTGCCTACTATATAATATATATTATAACAATAGTTATAGCGCGTCTTAAAACAATATAGGTACCTCACATTTATTAGGATCGACGTTTCCCACTTCTTTCTGGTTCTATTAACCAATTAATATACGTTTTAATTTTGCTTCCCATGATGGCTCTAGTTATACTTATCTTACGGTCGATGAGATTGTTTCAAGTATTTAAAACATTTGTTGTACCAGTACATATGTTTCTGTTTAACATTTTACTTATTTAACAAATCTCTCATTCCCAGCAAGATAATGACAACAGCCTACCCCTCTCTGAGAGAAGTGTACGAGTCCCTCCTTCAGAGTCCCGTCTTCCTGGTGGTGTTACCCTGTGTTAACCTCCTCATCGGCACCCTCACCCTCACCCTCAACACCTTCACTGCACAATTCTTCAGAAGTAAAACCAACAGCACCATGCACCTCATCTACTTCGTGCTGGCTTGTTCAGACTGGGTAGCTGGGGTAGCTCTGATAATCCAGGGAGCTGCTCTGATCCTCTTCTCCTACCACCCCGGGATCCTGGTGATGATGTGTCCTGTGTTCTATGTGTTAGGACAGGTTGCTCTCCACACTTCAGCAATGTACACTGTACTGTTGACTATCGTGAGGAGTCTGATTATCAGACAGCCTGCTTATAGCGTCAACAGAAGAGCAACTATTGCGTCCATCATCGGTATTCCTGTATTCTGGACTGTTACTGCGGTTCTTGAAATCTTCCTGGCACGATATCTTCTCTACTCGTCAGAACATCAAACTGGGAGAAATCTTACCATCGTTACTGTCAAGGATATGATCGTAATTCCAAGACCCGGAAGTGCTGTTGTGTACAGTATCGCCTGTAAAACTGGGATGGTGTCACCGGCTGATTGCTCATCAGACCATATCTGGGTAATGGACTTTGTGGCAGCATTTGTGACCCTGATTCTCCCTTACGGGGCTCCCATCCTAATCTGCCTGATCAGCACGATCTACCAACTCTGTAACTTAGTCCTGAAAAGGAGCTCCAAACTGAAGGTATCTCGGGCACGTAGGAGGTTAACCAAAACTATTATAATCCTCACCGCTACCTTCTTGATATTTGACTGTGTTCAGTTCACAGCGGTAGTAATTACGATCTTGGGACAATTCCACTTCAACCTTACCCAAGCACTACTGTTCTCCTTCGCTAGTTACCCTCTGCTCTGCCTCAACTCAATGATAACACCACTGGTGATGTGCCTTAGGGGCAGCTCTCTAAACGAACATGTTAAAGGTAAACTCAACTTTGTAACAAGGAGGACTCATGGTAATGTTATTTGTCAGGATCCAAATACTGTACGCTCGGCACAGACTTACGTTTAGAAAAGGCAGTGAACATTTGTGAGCATCTGTGTATGCGTGATATTTTATCGGTTGTTTAAATATTGTTGCGACAATTCAGAACTCGTACTCCAACAATAACCAAACATATATTTTATTTTATCTCCCTGCCTCACTTTGCAACTGATTTATGTTACAAGAAATGCGTCTTTTTACGAATTAAATTCTTGTCTGACTTCGAATCTCTTAGAAACGTGAGATTGTAAATGTTGTTTCTTATCATTAAAATCTGTTGGTAAAAATTGATTTAACACGGCAGGTCTAATATTTTGAATAACAAAATAACTTATAAAAATACTAACAGTTTACTTTTAGACTCTGTAGAGACGAATGAGAGCAAATCAGCAGTTCTAATCAGATTTCCATGGGATCCCCAGTCTGTAAAACCTTCACGAGCACCTGTGAAGATGTAGCAAATTAAATCAGCTACCTTGACTGTGTTCTAATAGCACTTGCACGAAATACCGGACTAATAACAAAATACCGGACTAATAGCGAGATGCCGGACACACTAATGACCCACATTTAAAAACAGCTGACAAATGTTCTGTTACAAAGTTACCTTGCAGTTGGTAAGGGTTAGACTGATGTCATTCTTAATTGTGTTGAAGAGACACTGGTTTCCATTTCTTAACTTTTCTATGGCATCGAGCGCTTTTCTGAAACAATATCATCAAATATTCAACTTTTCACTGATCAAGATTAAGTTTCACCAAAAGTCTCCTAAAAAGTCTCGCTTAAGATTGATTAACCAAGTAAAAACGAACAACTAACCTCAGATCTGACATTGAGAGGAGATGCAAATTTACAAGAGCGGAGTATCTTGCTTTGTGTAACAGGCACTCCGACAGAGGCAGAACCGGTAAATAGTTAAGAGAGGTCTCTAGATCTGTTAATAGTTTGCGAGAGTAGAGTTGAGATATGGTTTGTAGAACTATTGTGGGTAGGTCAAGTATTGCTCCACTTTCGCTGAAAGCGTTAAATAATTAGTTAAAGCGAGGAGCTAGCTTACAGTTATATTACCCTTAACTTCATGAAATGATTCGTGTTATGTTTTGCCTAGAGAGTTATTTAAATATCGTTTATTTGTATAATATAGTTAAAATTAAGTTTACTTTAAATTTCTGATCCGATCTGTAAGCGCCCCAACGATCTCTTGATCACGTGACTTATCAAGTCTGTTGAGGAACCTGGCAACCACAACACAGTACTGTTGTTCTGCGAGTAGAGGCCCAGGATTCAGCACCATATCACACACTACATCCCGGCTTAACAGTGTCTGGAGCGAAGGAAGGAGACTAACGTAGAGGATAAGAGAAGGGTAGGAGGTTTGGAGGTTAGTAGTAGAGAGGATGGTATGAGTGTGCTTAGTTAGGCCCAGTGATTCTGAAGAGCAGTTGTTCAGACTACATGCTTAGTTTCTTGAGATAAAAATAAAATATGGTCAACGTAAGGTTGTAAGGTATATCTAGACTCTAGTCGAATGTTGAAGTTAACTAACCGATTAATGTTTGAGTGTTAGCCACAATGCTGTTATCAGAGAGCCACCCAACCCACGACAAGACACCAGTCAACATATCTGGTGTCAGACTATCATTTATCGTTGGTAACACGTCCGATCCGAACTTATCCAACAACTGGTGGTGGCTTGAACAACCTGGGGGTGTTATGTTATTTAATTAGAGGTTATACAATTTGTTTGTACCATCCAATAGAGTTATTACTGAGATTGCTAAATGTTATAGTATGAAAAATATCCTTCGACATTTTCGTACTCAATTTTCAATACTTAAGCTTTTGTCAGATATATGGGTGAGTACAGCCTACAGGTGAATAAGGTACTTAATTTTGTAATGCTTTCAGAGTCAAATTTCGTAACAAATCTACTGCTGTAATTCTTTCCAAACAGGTGCTCTTCAGCTAATTACAAAATTACAAAACCCAGTACACATTGATACTAACCGAGAGGGGGTGGTCTTGAAGAAAATAAGTCAAAAGAATATCTATGAACTGCTAGGGGCTCTCAATTACAATTATAATTTGAAGATCGATTCAGCTGCAGCGAGCAGCCTGCTGGTGGTGAAATTCAGCATGGTAAAGTTATTTAATGACGTCATTGGCGCGAGGCTGTGGTACGAGACCAGCGGAAAAATTAACTTATTAAATTAGTATAAGATAAGTTTCAATTGTTAAGGAGGGATGGGGGGGGTACCAATGGCATAAAATGGAGAAGAATGGCATAAAAATCATCAAATGGCATAGAAATTTCATGGCATAAATGGAAATTTTGTTTGGCCAATTCTCCATTTATGCCAATTTATGCCATGAATTTAGGTCTTCATATTTGACCTTTAGGATGACTTTAAATTCGCAAATATTATTAGTACTTGAATAAGAGACATGTTTCATGCTTTATAACGCTTGGAATGATCGTTAAATTCAAAGATTCATATGACAAATAACTAAATAAAGAAAATAGAAATGTTTTATATCAAATATATACCAAACATTTCACTATTCAAGAATAGCAAATTGTGAGATGTTCAAAATGTACAGAATACAAACATTGACAACACAACGATTTTGAATGTCATCAAGGAACAATGCATCTGATGTATTTGTCTTCGACGAGTAGCCAAACATTAGGAGATCCATTGATTAGGCTATGTTCCTGGCAGTAGTACTTCATCGGGCATGACTTATAAGAAATAAATCTAACCACTCCTGTTGCAAAGTCCTGCTGAGATTTGAAGACTTTAAGAGTTTCTGTACTGCCAGCTTTCAAACCTGTTGAACATCCGCATTCAGGTTGATGGTATATGCGAACATCAGAAGACACTCCAAACGCGTCCCCCTTGAATCTTGAAAGACGAGATTTTGTTGATAAAGTGCTTCTTCCTCCATTGAGCGTGAGTGTCTCAAAAGACCGGAAGGATAGTGTTCCATATCTATCTGTTGATATCGTTTCTCCATCATCACAATCATCAACTCCAGGTTCTACCTCATAAGCTAAGTCGTCCTCATCCTCGAGGCATCCAGCTTCATCATCTACAGCTTCCCAAGAAAGTTCTTGGCCATGGACGATTGGCTTTCCACTCCGTTCTTCAGGATCTGCGACTGCGGCGAACACAGGGAAATTGTTTCTGTCCCTTCTCGAATGCAGTCCCTCGATGCCCTGTCCAGCGTTTTTGCCAACTTGCCTAGGCTTATCATACCACCAGTCCATTTCACTCGTTCTGCTTTCTGGCCTGTAGATTTAACCTTTTTGAGGTGAACTGTAGGATGCAAAACTGTACTTCCACGTGCATGTGCAATTGCAGATGTGTCTTCATGTAATGATAAAGCACTGTACACATTCTTTCTCTCCATTCCATGGGCCATAGTTATCGCATCCATATTTCTTGAGCGACCAGATGAAAAAGAAACTCGAATAAATGCAAACAGCTGCTCATTCTGATCACTTCCAAGGTAATAAGTGACGATTTCAGCATTAGGGAATTGCTTCTTCAGCAGAGTTAAATACAAAACAAGACCGTCACAAGTACATATAAGATCAAGGTACGTCTGATTCGTTATGCTGACAGTTGAGTAAGTATTCTCTTTCCAAGTAACGAAAAATGTTAATTTTGTCTAATTTGGCATGATATCAGATCATGTGATATTACATGGCCCCATGGAGAGCATTGCCAGAGCAATTGGCCAGAGAGCTACATAGAAGTAAGGGGCCTACTCTAGCCAACAGCTCTAATACATTTCCTTCCTCAACTTCATTTTCTTCATCTAACTGCTGCTGCTGCTCAGCAACTACTTGATAGCTGGCACAGTGACGTTTGTCTGCGTAGTGTATCTGTTAGCCTCAATTTTGCCTCAAGGAGGGAAGTTAGCCTCAATCCAACCTCACATAAGTTTCGATAAAGTCTCAATAACCTTCAGGCTACAATTGCAAGTTTTATAGTGGGTCTATAACATGTTTCCGTACATTAAAGTTAAAACTTAAAATGCGGTCGAATCATTTATTAGCCTCATTTTGGCCTCCTACAAGAAGACTCTGCGATTTCTGAAATGTTGAGCTTGAAGAGGATGAATAAATTTTTATTGTTGACACATTAGATAGTCACAATACCGAACATGCTCGAAAATATACACAAAAGTATACTTGTTAGCCTCATTTCACCCTCTCACAAGTCACAAAGTGGTTAGCCTCATTTTCACCTCGAAAATTTGAAGCTATAATCCGACGGAATTTCATGTGCAACATAGATATCAAGTAACTTGTTTCCGTACATTAAAGTTAAAATGCGGTCGAATTATTTATTAGCCTCATTTTGGCCTCCTACAAGTAGACTCGGCGATTTCTGAAATGTTGAGTTTGAAGAGGATGAATCAATCTTTATTGTTGACGTATTAGATAGTCACAATACCGAACCAACTCGAAAATGTACACAAAAGTATACTTGTTGGCCTCATTTTCACCTTGAATATCTAAAGCTTAGATTTCGATCAAGTATAATCACTATGGATTATACTTGCAACTTGGATATCATGGACGTAACATGAGAAAGTTCCTTTTTGAAAGTGGTGAGGCTAATTTGTTAGCCTCAATTGTCCCTCGCAGTTAAATCACTCCTACTGAGTCTAGTGAGTGAGCTAGGAGGTCGCCGAACATCTCATTTTAAAGCCGTATCGATTTTCTATACGCATACCAAAAATCAAATGCGTAACAAAAACAGAAATGAAATTACAGAAGTTTTAAATTTTTTGTCAAAAAACGAACTTTTAGGGGTGTTTCTAATGAGCAGGGTCAGTACAATAAATAGAGATAAAGGTGGACAGTACTAGTGCTCTAGTGGGGTGCACACTATTCGTTATTAAATTCTCAGTTCAAAGTTTAAAAATTTCATATTTCGAATGGCATAGAATGGAGACAAATGGCATAAAAATCATCAAATGGCATAGAAATTTCATGGCATTATTATATAACTTTATTCAAATCAAAAATAGAACATAAAGAACATCTTGATGACCTGATAAGTCACCAAGAGAAAAATAACACAGAATAAACTAAATCATGCTTAACTCTCTCCATGCTTTTCTATCTGTTGCAAAAAGTCTTAAATGGTATAAATCGTCTGTATTTACAAGTCTAAAATTTCTGTCACTTAAATCGTTCAAAATAGTTTTTAACAAGTTTGACTGGTGTCGTCCGACTCTACCTCTCATCAAACTCTGACTCTCTACAGCAAAATGTAAGGCAAGCTGGGCAGGTGAGTTATTATCACTGCGGAGGATGTGACCGAGCATTCTCCACCGTGCACGAGCAACACGCTCACTCAGTGGAACAACTTCGCAGCGTTTGTATAGAGTCACATTTCGTATGACATTAGGGTAGGTCATGCCGATGATCGTACGGAGATGATTTCTGTGGCAGACATCAAGTTTTTGAAGGAGTTGTTTAGATGTTGCCCAACTGTTGCAATTATACATCAGTATTGAAACAACTTGTGCTTCATATATCTTGAGTCGAATCTTCAAGGGTATACGTCTACCTTGTTCCCAGACTTTTTTGTGGTTCTGAAAAGCAATGTTAGCAAGTATACATCGTCTCTTGACATCTTCGATGCTACACAACTTAGAGCCTAAAGAGATAGATGACCTCCAAGGTTCTCTACCTCTGAGTGTCTCTCCTTTGTTATCAACCTCGTTCTTGCCGGCCAGATAGAAGTGGGTGAACTCGGTTTTTGACTCATTGACAAAAAGATTCCACTCTTCCAATATCTCTTTACATATTGGCAACAAAGACTCCAAATTGCTTTTATCCTCATCAGTAAAATCAACATCATCTGCGTACTCCCACTCGAGGGGTAACAGATTCTCAGCTATGGGAGGGTTAGGTCTTAGATAGGACATAACAGCACGCAGGTGGTAAAGTGCTGCTGCCAGATATAGAGTGAACAAGTTTCCAGACAAACTGTCGCCTTGAAAAGCTCCAATCGTGACAATAAACTCTCCCGATATTGTTGAGTTCACTTTGATCTTCAGTTTAGTATTTGCGAGCAAATACCTTACCAGTCGAATGTCGTCCTCACTACAACCAGCATCAGCTAAAATATCAAGTAATACCGACCTCTTTATGGTATCAAAAGCAGAGGACATGTCAATGCCCATCTTATGAAGAGACCAGCGTTTTTCCTTGACAACTGACACTAGTATTCGCTGGGTCCAAACGATATTTGCACAACTATGGCCAGGTCTATAGGCATTCTGCCAAGGACCAGTGTACTGAGATACTTGCCTTTGGATGCGCTTTAAGACTATCATGGACAATATCTTTCTAGTACCGTTTAGTAGGCAAAGTGGGCGCAAACTCTTAGGGGGGCCTAGTGGCTTTCCAGGTTTTTGGAGCGGAGTAAGGTATCCCTCTGTGAAAGAAGGTACATGTTCATGGAGCTCAAAAGATCGATTGGTAAGTTGTGCAAATGTGGAAAAAAAGATTTCAGGAGAGTGTTTGAGAAATTCGTTTGGGATCCCATCTGGTCCAACAGCTTTACCGTTCTTGAGTTTCTTGGCCGCAAGCTCAACTTCAAACGCTGTAATGGGGTTTTGAAGGGGCCTAGGGTTACCTGTGAACGGTTCTAGTGGTGGTTCACTGTCAGGTCCAGTGTAGTGTTCTTCGAAGTACTGGCGAATGATTTCAGCCTTGTCTCGTTCATTATCTACCAGTTGGTTGTCAGTGTTGAAAACAGACACAGAGCCTGCACCCGTTTTCTGTTTGCCTGATAGTTGACGAGCAGCTTCAAACATTCTCCGTCCTTCGTCTATGGTGGCTATAGAGTCAGCTAGGCTGTTTGCTAACTCAACTCTCAATGTTTTCAACCGTTTAGTAATGTCGTTTGAGAGCCTGTTGATTTTAGCTCTGAGAGCTGTCCTGTCTCTGTATTCGTTGTTGTTCAGTTGTTGTAAAAGTTGTTTCCTTTCTTCAGACATGCTAACAACTTGACTGTCAGAGGAATGATTCCTCTTTCGCTGTGACTCGCGAAACCCCACAGTGGAAACAGCAGCTTCTTTAACTTCACCAAAAAGCATATCAAATTGCTGTTCCGTGTTGTTGGAGGTAAAGTCAGGATCTGATACAGTTTGCTCAAGTTTCTGACGAAGTTCTTGCTGATATTGTTGTTGAGCTTGTTTGCTTCCAATCAAGGTTGTTGTGTTATAAGTCTTTTGAAATGCTCTGCTCTCCTTGTACAACTTGAAGCGCTGCGAAAAATCTGCCTTGGCAACAACAAGTTTGTGGTCACTGCGGTGCTTTGTACCTGCATATGACCTGGCATCAGTTAGCAGTGCCTTGCTTCTGGACTTGCAGAGTATGAAGTCAATCTGTTGGAAATAAGGTTTACTTTTCCTGGTTGCTCGATCCCTAATCCAACCAGTCCGTGTGGTAATGTGTCTGCTGCTATGGGAGAATGAAGTGTTGGCAGCAAACAGGCCATTAGCAGTGAGAAAGTGTAGCAACCTTTCACCGTTTTCATTCCTCCTCCCAACACCATGTCTACCAATATTCACATGTAAACCATTTTCTACATCAACAGGGCTTCTTTTGCCAAGTTTGGCATTAAAGTCGCCTAACATCCATACTTCAAATCTAGCAGGAACACTGATAGCCTCGAGTAGCTCATCGTAAAATTGGGTTGCTAATCGGGGATTCTGAACTGACTTGGGATTCGTAGGGCTGTAACAATTAACAATTCTGATATGACAAGGTGGTTGATCCACCCTTTTAGCACTTAATTTAAAGTCCATATAAACAACTCTGTCACTGATCTGATGATGAGATACTATACATTCCAAAAAACGCTTGTTAACAATAAACCCAAGTCCACCGTGTCTATCGTGTCTCTGATCAAACAAAAACAATCGATGATGTCCAGGGAGTGTTGTTTCCAAGTATTCACGTGTCTTGGTCTCCTGAAGTGCTAAAATGTCTAAGTTATATCTGTCAATGTCCTCTGCAACGAAGTGTTGCCTGTATGTGGTCGATAGACCGCAAACATTCCATGTCCCAAAATTGAGTGTCGTAGCCATGATGAAAAGAGTAGCGTAGACTAGGAATCCTGCGATCTTCCTCGAGGCGTTAAACGTACTGACTTTAGCAGTCATGCGGACCCGTTACAGTCACACACCATCCTAAAAAAATGGCATAAATGGAAATTTTGTTTGGCCAATTCTCCATTATGCCATTTATGCCATTGGTACCCCCCCGGAGGGATAGTTAATAATAGTTAGGAATGGGCCTGAAATATCTTGACGATTAAGATAACCACACCCTTTCCTGGTGCCCTAAAACACAAACCTGGGATTAAATGATAGATCTTCAAGTACATTGTCCTAGCAATTTCTCGTACATGAGCTTTTGGCGAAAACGTCAAGGAGAATGAGTGTTTTGTTAATTCAAACAGTGTTCCCTCTTCACCGAATCTGAAGAAAACTTTTTGTAAAAGTATGTGAGCACGTTCACGAATTTGTTTAGCTCAAATATTTAATGTTTGAGTAAATCGAAAAGAGAGAGCCAAAAATTCGGGAAAATTTTATTGGAGTGAAAAATTTGAGTGAAAATTTGGCCATGGAACTAGAGAGTAGAGGGTTATTATTATTTTCACCCCAAACCTTAACATTTGGATTGGTGCAATCCCTCTTTATAAACGTGGTAGCATAAATATGAGAATACTATGGAAGGAAATGCATAATAAATCATAAAAATCCATTTAAAAAAGACACTTTGCATAGTAATAATTACTGTTTAACTGGGATTAAAAAAAGAAAACATCAATTATTACAAAAAAACCTTGGAACGAATCTTGTCTTGGTAGATTTGATAAAAAGTTGATGTTTAGAAGTAACTATCCGAGTAAGATGAGTGAGGGAGAGTTGTAAACTTGAACTGTACTTTATGTTGTAACTGTCCAGTAACAAGGATATTAGTATCATCGTGTAGTCCGACACTAACACCTCCTCCTCCCTGAACATTTGAAGTTGTAGAATTGTGGAATATACCAAAAAAGAGGAGACAGATACTTGACCTGCAGCAAATAGAACGTCTTCACTGAAAAGTGTTTATAAGGAAATTACTTTTATATTAAAAGTAACCTGAAGGTCCTGTAGAAAGCATTGAAGGCGGTTGCTGCGGCGAGTTGCTTGGTCGACGCCGGATGCTCCGCACAGTATATCAACTGCTTGAACACATTCCTGCAGTTGTGTATCAGTTTGCTTATCACCGATTCAAAAGAAGGGCTAAAACAGTTTATATCATTTTATTAACATCATTTCATGTTTTTTTTATTTCTCATTTTCAAGGTCAACGCCGACATTAGCATGTACATCAGCTTCAATTTCAAATACTATGAGAAATGGTACCTGACTGCAGGTGACATAACGTCAGAACTGTGCTTCATACTCCACTTAAAGAATTCCCCGATACATTCTCCACAAAATTCCCTCAGCTCAATGTTACCCGACTGTTGGATGCCACTCTGAAATATTGCGGTTACTTCACCTGCTGACACTTTCTTGTTATTTTCGGTACTCAGCAACACGTGCTAGTGATGCGCGCTGTTATAGAAGGCGCGTGTCTTTGCGCTAAGGGTATTAGGTTTTAATTCTCGCGTGTGCCGCAAAAGTACATATTATGAAAACTGATAAGATATCAGATAACAAGAAATTTGTCTGACAAAATATTGAAAAAACCTTCTTTGGGTGAAAGGGAGCAGTATCGTAAAACTTTGATTATGAATTAATTTTTTGAAAAATTGGCTACTGGCGAGTTTCGAACCCTTTACCACAGGAATTCAGTATTGATTATTTTAATTCAATTAATCGAACGTTTATGTAATTATTTCAAATATTGAACAAACTCAAAAAGAACACATTATATTTGAACTGGGACAAAAAATTTGGAACGCTTCACGAATTTGCGTGTCATCCTTGCGCAGGGGCCATGCTAATCTTCTCTGTATCGTTCCAATTTTAGTATATGCACTACCGAAGTAGTACAATACAGACAAAATCTCGGTGTATTTATACTCGCGTATAAAGTTCCTAGCCTACCATGATATGGTGTAAAATGAAGCTATCTTTTGATCTGCTAGTTTGCCAATGAATTATCTGGAATGTTAGCTCCTTAAAGATCTGACGAACAACTGAATTACTATCACATCCTAACTCCAACAACACTGGTAACGTGTGATCGTATAGAACCTGAACAATATTAAAGTTAGGAATTTGGCATACATAAGGAAATTAGGTTCATTCAACTTACAGCGACTAAGTTAGATTAATAATTTGAGGAGAGAAGACATAATATGATATACCTTGATTTTATCAGGTGCTTGTTGTTCAGTAGAAATAGATACAAGGAATAGGGCGTGAAGCAGTTCACACGCACAGGTACGGGCCTGACCCTCGCTGGTAGTTTTACAAAGTGTGATTACTTCTCTCAACATCTCATCTGTAATTAATATAAATACATATTATCATATATTATCCAGATTATATTACTTAATTATCATAACAATCATAAAAACAAAAATCAAAACTAAGTTTTACACACTAATTTATATCTAGAACTAAGAAGTCCAGTAGTTACCAAGACATATGTTAAGAAGAGAAGGACCAAGAGGCAGAGCCACAGTTAACACAGTCTCGTTACTCCAGGAAATGTCGGGTAGTTGGAGGGTGATAAGGTGGGAGTTAACTTGACCTCCTAGAGTACCGAGTAGTAGCACCATGTCACATTGCAACTCGTACAGTGATATCTCACTCCTGGAGATATCTTAAGTAATAATCTCAGAATGTGTGTCTGTCTGTGTGTGCGTGTAATTTCCGAGCGGTAAGAAAAAACGGTAAGAATTATGGGACTGTTTTTTTTCGGTATAGTTTCGACAAAACTTTGACGAAGCCAAATGATAAAGGTTTTTTTAAATCGGTCGGTGGTAAGTTGATTAATTAATGGTTTTGTACCACAAATGTGACATAAAATGGCTCTCTTTTTCTCCCTTCTCGCTCTCTCTCTCTCTCTCTCTCTCTCTCTCTCTCCCATTCCTGCATATTATGTAGCGTTGGTACATGAATCACTGTTATGTAATACTATAAGCTTGTTAGGGGGAGGGCACTCATCGCGGTCTGTACGGACTGTAGAGAGAGACAAGAGTTCAATTCATACTTTCATACGACAATGTTATGCGTGTTTTCAAATAATATAGGCGGGTTTATACTTTTTCATTTCAACTGCGATAGTGAAGTCCCGGCCGTAGTTACACTAGTGCATGTATGATGTTAGAAGTTAGAAGGCCAGGTTCAGATAATGTTTTGGTTTGGTTTGGCGAGCAGACTTGCCACATAAGCCCTGTAATACCGGTTTTTTATTGAGTTTCAATCTTCTAATTATCATACTAGTAAAAACATTTTCGGAGCACCGTTACTCCGCCTGCCGTCAACTTGTCCGTCAATTTATACCCTTATAAATAATAATATGTCTCCTAAGAGCCTAAGGTATCAGGCTCTTATCTGTCTATGACGCCCACAGAGTTTTAAAGATCACAGCTGCATCTGAACGGGGAACCTCTAATCTCTATGCGTCAAGTTACAATAAATTATGATTTCTAAAATGCTTGTATCCTGTTATTTTTCCTCCCTTTCTTGTGAACCAGAATACACACAATTTATGTAACTTGAATACTTTTCTTTCGCCACATTCCGAATCTACTTCTTGCTATTTTGTTTAAAATGACTCTATCTAGGCGTCCGGGAATAAACTGAAGATTGGTTGCAATACTGCAATAATGGGTTGCAAATTTTGTATTGTTCTTCTATATTATATACAGTATACTGTAGAGTGTCGAATTTGAAATGATCGGCAGCTTGTTACTGTCAGTGTACGATTTGCACTATTCCGTTCTCACAAAGTCAAACACGTACCGATGGATCAGACCACAATGGACGCTTTCGTCAAGATTTCAGTTTAATCAGAGGATCACGTCAGCATCAGGACAGTAGACACAACGTCACAAGATAACCCGTGAGCTTGTGAAATACAAATGTGATTCCAAATTCGGACAACAGTCGTCGATTAAGAGTCTTGTACCAAAAATCCAATTTCGGATTCGGACCAGAGTCGCCCAATCCCCAAAACGCTCCACCTCTACAAAAATGTGGTCCTTGTATGGGTATAGGTATCTTGAACCTGCTTCCTTTTGCCCATAATTTTGTATATAGTTATCAGTAAAATCTGTAAAATATAACTTATAGTTTTTAGTTAAGCGCAAATCAGTCTATTAACTGTTTGTAGAAAGGAGATTGAGTCATTTATAATTGTCATTTCTTTTTTGGCACGTGGCAGCATTTATATTCCAACTGATCGAAATCCGGATACCAAAATTTACGATTGGTTTCGAAAGCTTCCAAAACATTTGAAGAGGCAGAGCTAATAACTACCGCTGGCGTATTTGCACACCTCTTCCAAGGACGAAAACCAGTGTCATTGCTATCATCCATATTTGGACTAGAGTCATTACATTGTACAGTATAGTTCCATTCGCTCACAATAAAAATAATATAATCATATAGCTACTTATAGCCTGGACAATAGTGAAACAACCATTCAGAATGATTTATTAATGACCTTTTTAGGATTTAATTTAGCCAGAAAGTCAGTTTCAAGAAGCGAGAATGGGAGGTGGCCAAAGTACGCAAGGTGTTCAGGTCACCAACGCTTTCTATCAAGATATATAATGGGTCAGAGACAGAGTTGAAAAGATTTCGGTAGGTTGTGTAATGTGTGCGTTAATTATTACTCTATGATTCTGTTCAACCAAAATATTTCAGATTTTGTTACAGATTGAGATTATTTATTTTTTAATCCAGCTAAATTAACGAACATAAAGTCGTGGTTTGATAATCTTAACTTTCAGGAATACTCACATCGAGAAACAATAGAAGCCGATTTAGGGATTGAAGCTGCAGGTCTTTCAAAGTTCACCGCAAAAGGAAAGACAATTTTTTCTAAGAACACTTTTTTAAATGAAAAGGGAGTTTATGAATTAATGATTGAAGAAGGTTTCGCTAAAATCCCAAAACAAGCGATTACCAACTTTAAGCCAAAAGAAAATCACACAGGAACAGCCTATGTAACAGTCCTGTATTACGATAAGGAAGATAAGGAGCACTTCATAGCAGAAGATCTCCCTCATGGTTATTGACATGCCATTATAGTAGCAGCAACTGGTAGCATTGTAGATGCAAGAAGTACGAATGAGCCTTGGGTCGATATAACTGGTGTTAACCATAGGTGTGTAGATTGCCACCAAATTTCTACCTTATGTACAGCTTGCCTAATAGATACAAGATTGGAAGTCATTCAGAAAAGTATCAGTGTTTTTAAGCACTGTCAGTTAGCTAAAGCACTTATTGTCTGTGTCGAGGCCATAAAGAAGCAAGGCCTAGAAAAAAAAGGCAGAAGAGGTCACCGAAATCGTAAAAGAAATCGAAAGTTTTGCCAAACACTACTGGACTCTGGAAACTAAAACGAAGCGTTCTGTACGAGACGTCCAGTCATATGGAGAATACCTAATTGAAGCAGCAGATGACTTCACGAATGATCATGATTTCGAGGCACTATTAACGAACGTCAAGGATATGAACGACGTAAAGGTATCTCTTCAACAAGCAAATGAAAAACACGATATTGTGAAGGGGGAGGCAGATAAGATACAGGTGAGAGCTCAGAGCTCTGGTGCCAAGTACAAAGAGAAGGAGAAGGAGTCAGCAGTATTTTTAAATCCTATAAAAGGTGTTGCATATATATCAACTCCTATTATAGGTCAAATAGGTGCATTCGCAGCTTGTGGTTATGCGGCAGCAAGCAAAGCGATCGAGGAATGTGCTAAAAATACATCAGCTAATAACATCCCGATAAAAATGCTTGCCGGAGGTTTGGCTGGAGTTGGTGGTGCAATTGGCGGCCTGGCAATATCAGCAATCTATTTGCCAGCAAGCCCAGTGTTATGGTGGTGTTATCTATCGAAATATATTGATGCAAAGTATTACAAAGAACTGGCCATCCAGTTTCAATCAATCGGTAATCAAATGATGAAAGTAAAGAAACATCTCACTGTAATAACAAGCGCTTTACTTGATATCGAAAAGCACCTTAATATGGCACTGAGGGCTGAGAAGTCTGCAAAAAGTCAAGTAACAGATGAAGTGAGGGAGAGGATGGTAGGGAGAATGAGGAAACGAGCAGAGGAATTGATTGTGTCGTGTGACACCTACCTCGGTAAGGTGAAGACAGAAGAACTTCTTGCTGTTGATGATAGCGCACTCTTCTCAATTCAAGAAGTTAAGAAAGAAAACTGACACAAAAAAGGAAACTCAAGTTGATGTGTGATAGAAACTAGTTATCCATTTGATGTAATTGATAATGTTCACTTTATGATTATGTGTGTCGTGTTTGGAGTTCAATTTGTACCTATGCGTTTCAGTATCGTTCACTTTTTTCTTCCAATATAATTTGATTGCAAACTGTTCCTTTTTGTCTCATCTAACTCCCGAACACCATAGTTAATGCTAAACGTCCCAAGAGGTGCTCACAAATGGTCATTTCCCAGCTGGCCTGAAACCCAAATATGGACGATAGGCCGAATTTGTATAAATTATGCAATTTTTTATGCGAAAGTCGCTAATTTTCTAGCTTTAATGGTCGCATATGTTTTTTGGTAAGTGTACTGACAGATCAAGGTAGCCCAAATTTAAAATAATATGAAAATAGGGCAAAATTACGCAGTTAAAGGTAAAAAAAGGGTGTGGCCCGAAAATGCTCCCAAAACATGCTGGACCATATCAAAAACCTCCATTTCAGTTCTCATTGTGAAGAATACTTTCCATTGTGTCTGTATATGTCTGATTTACAACTTGGGGCAGTCTAAACGTTTCAAAACTAGGATTCCATCATGAACGAAAACTATCACCTATTCTGGGATCACACCAATATTTCTTTGCATATCTTTAACATCGAAAAAATGTTGCCCATCAAGTTCATATGAGACTCCTAATGGTCCTAAAAACGTCTCCTAACCCTTTAAAAAATCATACGAAGAGATCAAAACCAATGAGTTCAAAATGAGAAAATTATGAGGGTTTCTTATTGGGTAGTGTTTTTTGGGACAACCTGTAGTATGATATTATTACGAACACAAGACGGAGCCCCATATTTACTGCAGTTATACAGTTCTAGACACTAGAGTTGGACAACAATCACTTTGTCAATGGTACATACTTGTCAGTAGTATTAGCTTTAGAAGTAAGGTAAGGATTGATGAGGGGTAGTATATCAGGGTAGTGATCAGACAGAATGTTAGATTCGCCAGCTCGTACCACCCTCCACACACTCTCCACTCCTCTTCTACCCAGCTCCAGACATCTGGTCAGGGATGAGAGGGGGTTAACTTTAACTGGTTACTCTACATTTTGTAATTTTAATCATTGAATTATTGAATTTCACTGCCATGATGTTATGGCTAATTAACAGAATGAGGAAAATTAATCGTTAATAAAATATAACTAAATGAATGTAACTCAAGATTTACCCTATTCCTCTAGAGAGGGCCTCTTTGATAGCCAGAGTGAACATCTCCACAGATCCTTGTATCAGAGTAACAGGGTAGGAAAGCAGCAAGGATATGCTCGCTATTCTAGTGTCCTCCACCAGTCTGTCTAGTCTTTCTATTACTGTGTAACCGAACTGTCTTAGTATGCTCCCAACTTCTGCCTGGTTACAGTGGATTGAAGTGAGGTTAGTTGGGTTCCTTATATTTGGGTGGGATGTGTTTCCAATTATTAACCAATACTTGTATGCTGATGATGACGAAATTAAGAGAATGATTAAGAAATACCCAAGCCCTTACAAGACAAGCTTAACAAGTACCAAGTGGTAGGGAGATGAGAAGTAGTGACTGGTGTCACAGTAACAAACAACAGATTTGAGGAGCCAATAACAGCACTGAGCGTCAGGTACTTTGTCACTAGCCTCAACCGTTGACTTTACCAAAAGTAACACCCACTTTTCGAGTCTGACAGATTTGGAAAATGTGACGAAGTTTCGTATTTTGCAGAGATAAAGTAAATTCGTCAGGCGCTAACGCTATTCACCACCAAGATAGAAGTTACATGTTTAATTGATGTAGGTTTGGTATAGAATGTTTGTCAAGGAATTTAACATCTGATACTTTGAAAATACGATAATATCAGAAAGATCAACCTGTCATCATCAACAGTAGATATAACATCAGTAAGAAGGGAGGAGAGGTTACCCAACAGCTCCAGATCTTTGTTTGGTGGATTATCTACTATCATTCTGTCTTCATCCGTATCTTCCATCGTATCTTGTTCAGCAACTTTCAGATCCAACTTTTCAAATATCACCAGAAAACTGTAATGTCAGGGAAATGTAAATTGTTCAAGCACTTTTATCTATTTTGAGTCTTATCTACAATTTTGAAATGCCAATCCTGCGTTTCCTCATAGTCAGAAGAGGATTTATTCCGAATTGAATTTTATGCCACTATGGATCATATTCAAAATATAAACAGAGACAGATAAAAGGATGAACCTGTTGATGAGAGCGTCAAGAAGTGAGATGTGAAGGTCCCTCTTAACATCAGTATCAGTAATGAGGTAAGTGTACTTAGTGAGCAGGTCAGACCAGAGTGAGCTGTACTCAGCTGGCTCACTGTTACTTGAACATCTCAACAATCCCTTGTAGGATACTGTGTTACCTTTGTGTGATCTTTAACACGTTTATAGGTTTATAGCTGTGTTCATTAATTTTAGATAGATATCATGTCATTAATATTTTTAAACTATAATTAGCACAGACCCAGGTTCCTTTTACCTGGTACGTGAGCTCATTGAGTAGCCACAAGAAAGCATCTCTATCAGAGTGGACGGCAGCTAACAGGGCCTGTATGGAGTGATAGCACCCTCCTTGTAACTTCACGTGTAGTTCCGGGAACACCTGGACGGTTCACATTTAGATAACCTTCTTACATATTCTATACAAGAATTGTAGTTCATCTCACAGTTTATATTAGTTCATCCCACTGCCCACAGTTTATTGTAGTTCATCTCAAAGTTTATAATATAATTTATTGTAATTAAATTCACGAAATACCACGTGTTCTGATAACCACCTCAACAAGAGAAACGAGTGGAGCTGCTAGGTGGTGTCTGATATCAGGAGATATAGTCTGGATACAGTTAACAGTATCGGCTAGAGCGGAGATAACACTGGGAAGTAGGGAGCTGTAGTCTGCTTCACTTCCACTTCCGACACACACACTTTCTCCTGCAGAGCACAGGTTTTACTACTATAAATTCAATCAAGACTGGTCACGAATTTATGATTAATCGAGCTGTCAGAATAACGAAAAATACGTAATTTATTTAATCTCTCTCTCTGTTTAACAGTAAAAACTTCTGGTGCTTCGTTGGGACCATGTACTGTGATATATAAACTACCATGTTCTCTCTCATCTATTGACATTAACATACCTCCTCTATTACAATATTATATAACAACATCCAGACGAACCTGCTACAAGGATCTTCTTGAAGAGTTGTAAAAGCTTCTCTTCGCCAAGTATAACTTTGCAGGGGTGAGCCAGGTGACCGAGACACTGCATGACAGCTGATATCTGACGGCGGTGCAGGGAGGTGAGCAGCGGTACCAGCACAGAGAGATAGTGGTGGAACAGGGTCGGTCCTTCCTCCTCGTTAACCATCATCTCCTTACTCATCTGACGGGACAAGTTTATCATATATTTATCTATTTTTTACGCTTTCATCTATACATGAATAATTTAATTCGCGGCTACAACTCTTTAACTCTTCTCATCTTGGTATAATAGTAGGGTGATCTGGCACGTGTTGTGAGGGAACCACGTGACACACTGGCACTGCACGACTCTTCTCTTTGGTCCATTTCATTGCGTTTAGCTGTGCGGTTTGTGGTTTGTCTGAGCAACCAACAGTATTTTCTGACGTCTTACTCCGAGGCAATTTGTTTATAAACTTTCATATTTCTTTGCAGTTCTTTAAAAAAAACTCCAACTTCTATCATTTCAAGTGCTGGGATGATTGATGAACGACTAATCAATTCAATGATACAGAGCAAAAGTATCGGCGGATATCTTACTACAATGATGTACTTCAGAATACTGATTGGGTAGTCGGCTCAGTGTTCATTGAGGGCATCTTAGTTGGACTTTTGGGGAAAATCTCTGCAGTTTATTACTTCTGAGTTCTGGCCGAGGAGACACAAAACAATAAGTATCTTACATGCAATAACTGCGCTCCATTTCCTCATTTCATTTTTCCGGCAATGATCTGTATCACTCGAACCATTGCCATTTCCTAACCGAGTAATCACTGGGTAATGAGCGATATTACTGAGTAATTAGCGCTATTACCTGATATGATGCCTACATAAAAACGACGACCGTAAATTTCACCGGGTTTTGGTCATTGATGGTAAGTATGTACATGAATTAACCCACCCCCCAGCATGTGACACTAATGAGGACGACGTAAATCACCATTTCCACAGCAGTTTTACTGATGTGCAAAACTGCTATATACGTTGCTTTCTTTATCATATATATGAGATATTCTCCTGGCAATATCCTGCTATCTGATGAAAAAGGATCGTAGATCATATTTTATGATGACTGGTTACCATAGCTGGGTCCTTCAAGCTCTTATAAACTCTGGCGGTCTCAGCAAAACAGTCAACGTTGATAACTGTCAACTGATGATGGAAACTACGATAAATCATTCCAGCGAGGACAAAACTTTCATGAAGGCGACTGTCTTCGGAATCATTAAGAATTAAAGCAACAGACCGTTCACAGACACTCGAATTCAAATAAACGGCATTTGTGATATAAATTGAGTAATTGATTCAAATTAATGAACTCAAATTGGTTTGGTATTGTTTTGGTATACATTTTTGCCAATTATTATTTTATTATTATTTTATCGATCTTGTTTCATTAACGGTAACTCCGATCAATATCAAATTGTTGAAAGTTTCAATATGTGCATACTGCATGCGAGAACAAGAAATAAGAATTAGTTGTTTCAAAATAAACTTTACCATCTCAACGAGCTGATAAGTACGACAACCTTAACAAAAGATACATGACAAAGACCTTACTTCTAAAACGAGAGCAGATAGAGCTTTACAGATGGAACTCCTCAACCCAGCATTCTTTACAGTGCTCAGCATTTTAACGAGAAAGTCCAGTAACTTGATATTGTCTTTGTAGAGGAACTCTTTGAATTTAGGGGTGTGTTCTGCTAGGAGAGTTAGCACTGAGGTCTGCATTGCATGCCTTTTTGCTTCTACCTGCGGTGTTAAATTTCTTATAATAACATATTGAGAACATTCTCAACAACTTGGGTGCCCAAAAGGCATCATAAAGATGGTAAATTCATAAATGTTGCTCAGCTCACGTTAGGGTTGCAGCAGAGAACCAACAAACGGAATATCTCCCCCACTGTAGTTTGAGACACCACGTCAGAGAATGCAGAAAGAACTCCATTTATACCATTAAAACTTCCTGATATCAATTGAAGGTCCGGGGGTTTCTTTTTCTGCCCTTTAGTTATCATCTGAAATCAATAATCTTACTCTAGTCCATCTTGCAGATTCTATTCTTGGACAATAAATTAGATTCTACATCACATAACTAGTACAGAATTTGATTGACCTGTTATAATATCGTGTATACATACAGACTGAGTAATTATAATGGGAGATATGTTTTTACTTACTTCAGTTTTTAAACTGTGCATGAAAAACCCAAGCCACTTCGTAACTCTTTCATTGTCAAACATGGAGGGTGATGTTTCTAGGAGAGTCTGAACTAAGCCACATATCGCATCAATAACTGAAATTATTGGATGTACAATAGGTAAGATGGCAATTCGTACTGACATGTACCTAACACAGCAACTACGTTAAAGATAACCTCATAAAATATGCTCTGGATTATTTTAAGTTCTGACCAGTAATTGACGACCTAGTTTTATTTGAAAGGGATTTGTAGATAAGATCGGATATATCCATCGTTTTCTCACTTCCTCCTCCTTGTTCATGAAGCTTCTTTAAACACTGGGATAGAAAGTTGCGGATTTTGATAGCGGGTCAGTATGAGAATGAACAACACTTTTGATATAGGGTTTTGTTGAGAAACATCTTTAAATTCTAATCATTCGAATGGGTTAATAATATGTGAACTCTTGAATGTGCAACTTGGACTCAGTGTTAAGGCTACAACGAATTTAACTTACATCCTGGATGAGGTTGGTGACAAGGACAATATTGGCTTTAGTTTCTATCTTGGTAAACAGCGACATACATCCATCCTGCAAACAAAAATTAAGCTCTACCTAAACAAAATGTTTGATGTACAATAGTTTTTATAACAATAATCATATAACTTAATAGTAACTTGAAACTGTTTCTTTTCACGAGGTGAGAATAGCCAATTATTAAAAAAACATTATCATTATACTTACTATAATTACAAAAATGTGCTTGTCCAAAGAAAGCTTATTTTTCACAAGTTCTTTGAGTAATGCCAATAACTCGGCACAAACTTTAGGCCACTCCTAAAAAAGAAAGAGTTTAGAAAAAGCGAAAACATGTAATACAAGTAAAAGGTCAAAAAGTGTTGTACCTAGACAAATTTGAACATCACAACTCGATGATGTTGTAAACAAATAAAATGCACCCATTTTTTTCTTTAAAAGATCAAACCTTTCCAGGAAAATGACATGATCTTTCCAGAAAAATAAGCACTCCTTTTGTAGGATCAAGAAGGTGGGCAATTCCAATAACTGAAGAATTTATGTTTAAAGTATAAAAAATCACGCTGTTCAATCATGCATTTAATTAAGTTCAACTAATGAGAGTTTACTACACCAACCTAGTTCATGGTCCGAACATCCTCCAACTGAGCTTTGTAAGTCCAATACAACTGGAAGTGCCTCAACTGCACCAATGTTCAAACATTCGTGTAGGTTGTCGAGTAGAACCTTCACATTGGCAGCCATTGCAAGAAGAGCCCTAGGGAAAATGTTTCTGGTTTGTGTTGGTAAGATTTACAGAAGATCCTTAAGAACATAATGCTTTAAAACTAAGGGTGAAATGACATTAAAGAATGACATCTTTTTAAAATATAATGCAGTTAGTGAAGCTGAATAATAGTGATAAGCTCAATCGTAGTAATACAGGAGTTTCTGTGGTATAATGGAATTAAATGTTATGGTAATGAGTCTCCTAGGAGGGAACAGCAATTTCAAAGAGATGACCTTAACCAAGGGATCTTAACCAGGTCATTTCGTTTAAATATTATATCGATTATCGAAACACACATGTATCCAGATAACACTTTTCCATTGCTAGATTAAACAGAATGGTCAAAAAACTGTTATTCCAAACGGACATTTTGGTTCAACTGCAGTACCCTAACTCCAAACACCAGTAACTGTTCATAAATAATGGCTCTTATTTATTCATATATATCTATATTATAATTCAAAGAATTATTTCTGTATATTGTACGACCGCCCACGTGCAAATCAGACGAGAAATAGGAAGTTGCATAGCAACCATGGTAACGGTGTTGACGCGCATGTGCAATGATTGTTTTAACATCATTTTGATCGGTTTTGTGGTAATTACGTAGTGTTCAGTGCGAGCTACATTTTAATGGGCTGTATACTTGGTTGTGACGGATATTTTTTGAGCTATGAAACTACTACCTTCCTCCCTGTGATCACGGGCTTTCTAGTCTTACTTATAATTCAAAAAATTATTTATGTTTGTCTGTACGAACGCCCACGTGCAAATTAGGTGAAAAATAGCAACATTCTGATCGGTTTTGTGGTAATTACGTTGTGTTCAGTGCGAGCTACATTTTAATCGGCTGTATCTTCGGTTGTAACGGACATTTGTTGATGCTATGAAAACTGACTACCAAAGAATACTACTGGTTTCCTCCCTGTGACCACAGGCTTTCTAGTTATCATATAAATTCGTTCAAACAATATAAATAAACAAATTCAGCAATGATAATAGTCTATAATGTACGACAACCTCAAAAATACAATTCTATTAATCAGAATAAAACAAATAATCAGAATAAAACAAATATTATATTCAAATCTGTTTATTCAACAATATTAAATCATTATAGGGACCTAATTTGTGACTTGATCGTTATGTTAGGGCTATTCTGTTATATTAGCTGATGTTGACAGGTACCGCATGAGGCAGAGACTTAGGACCATTACGCTGGAGGCTTACAATGACCCTTTTTGAACCCCATGGCAGTGCTAGTTTTATCATGGTACAAATTGTAAAGCGAAGTTATGAAAACAATCAGGTCACTCCTGTTTTTCACTATAATAAATTAAAATTGTGAAAATCTGAATAAAAATCTAAATACAAATCTGGGTGAAAACCTTTTGAAATTGTTTTGAAAGTATTCAAACAATATACACATAATATCAGCAAAGCAATAACCCTATAGATATATAAAACCGTTTACCACTTACCAGGGGTAAACGCTTGAATAAGCATAAATTCATTTCATTTTTTAAAACAAATCATTCGAACAATATACACAAATAAATTAAGCTATGGTAATTGTCTAACTATAAGATTAGATTAGATTAGATTAAGAATAATGACATAAACATCATTTAAACATTCTAATTTCTTCATTATATTATCAGAACTGGGAGTATTTCACAGCCTTCGTTGGAGGACTTCGCCGCTTCGACTGCTTCGCAAAGCAACGACAAACGATCTCGATGGATTGACATCGTTAATCAAGCTTTTATATTTATGTCCATAATCATAGAGATTAAGTAAGTTGAGTCAATTGAAATAATTGATTGACGTGATGCTTACTGGGCCGCGCTCAGCCTGTCATTCCGCCTAATCTCTATGTTTATGAACATAATAGCCTGAGGTCCCCAGGTAACGTGATGCCAACAGTGGCGTAACGTTGCCTGTTGATGCCCCCGCCGAAAAAGCGCCCCCTTGTTGGCGGCCCCTCCCCTTTTGCATTTTGGTGCCCCTTCCTAAAATTGAACAAATAAGGTGATCTTAGAGGATACGCCGGTAAAATCTCTAAAAAAGTGTGTATCTAGAGCAAAACTTGACTGATGTTAATCGTCTAAATTTCTTCGAAGTAGCGCGCGCCGCTCTCTTCTCGATGGCAAGTTCTACGAATTAGCGCGCGCCGGGCCAGATCATTAACAATGGTCAAGAGCAAAACGCACAGTTTTGCTAGTACTTCAGTTAAGTTTTCGAAATTGTCCCACATTCAAACGACGATTTGGCGCCCACCTAAGACGGCGCCAGACTCAATGAGGCTTCTCGCAGCGGTCAAAATCAACTATTCACGAACACCTGTTCGGCGGACAACTGTTCGCGAACAGGGGTCGGGCTATCTGGATACTGCCTCAATTTCAACTCAATCCAACACATAGATTTTGCTCCAAATATTGTATATTTCTGTATTGGTACCGTATGGCGTATGAGATATCATGTTGATATATCTATAATATTGAATATTAAAACTGTCTTATTCAATGTTATAATAGTGATATCTTATTCCATGAGGGCAGAAATAATAAATACGTTACGGTGAAATAAACCATAAAATAATCTTTAGAACTACTCCATTAACAACTAACAGTACTTCAGAACAAATGCACTAACTAAACTACCTTATATTGAATTATGTACATTAAATTACCGCGATTTTCTTTGTCAAAATTTGGAGAATTGGATGGCGGATGCACTATACTTCAATGCACGATTACACGATTTACACGATTAGAAAATGTATTTGTTATACTGGAATAATAACAATTTTATAATATAAAATAAATCACTTCCCTCTGAAGTAGAACAGATGATGGGAGAGCTTCAAACATGGCGATGGAGGGAAGCGGTGTCTCACCGCTGGGAGGTAAATTAATACCCGTATCGCGATGGTAAAATTTTATGATATGAGATCTCAAGTAAAAAATAACACAAAAAATAAAAAGTGAATGTTGTCAGTGTAGTGAAATCGGAGGCAACATTAATAAAGACGTATACACTTAAACCGTTACGATTATAGTCCCCATCTTGTTTTAAATACTCACAATAAAATACACACAAAAAACACACAAACGTCCCCAAAACATTAACTTCAATTTATATTTCCCTAGTTGAAATTAATTTATTTTATGAAATTGATACATTCGAGAAGATATCGTGATTACATGGTAGCCATCCATGATCCCCATTTAGCCCTAGGTTTTGTATATGAAGCAAATGGTTCTTAAATCTCTTTTTAAATAGTGAAATTGACAAAATATGATACGGTACATCATGATCAAGGAGATAATTTAAAATTTTGGATGCATTAAAAATAAAATTACTATTCTTGGTCTTAGACATTGAGAATTTAGGATATAGCAGTCTGCATGATCTACTTGACTTGCTAAACCGGCGATAAACATCAACAGGAATTTGTTCTTTAAGTAGCCTCATTGCAATACATCCAGTAAAGTATGTAAATAAGTTAAACAAGGTTAATAATTTCAAACGAAAGAACATTGGTTTCGTATGTTGAAACTTGTGATCAATCTTTGTTGTTTTTCTACTCACAATACGAATACATTTTTTCTGCAACACAAACAGTTTTTGCAGCAAAGGATGGTGAAAAACAGCACCCCATAGTGGTATACAATACATTAAATATGGTTGAACAAGTGAAATATATACTTGTCTTAACACTTTGGCTGGTACTATAGAACTTATGGAGTAGAGTGATCCACAAGATTTTGAAACTTGCGTTATTACATTGGTAATATGATCATTCCACGTTAAATTAGAATTAATAATGACTCCCAAAAATTTACACTTATTCACTTGATTAAACTGGTTGTTAAGTATTCCAACAAACTTTTGATTCTTAGGAACTTTACTACTTCCGAATTCCATAAAACAGCATTTTTCAAAATTAATGATTAACCTATTTAAGCAGCAATAGTCGTGAATCTTTGATAATACCTCATTAGCATTTTTGTAGAGTAAATTTCGGTCTTTATTTTGAAGAAAAAGGTTTAAATCATCTGCAAAGAGGATAAATTTAGCTAACTCACAAATATTTGCCAAATCATTGATAAAAATAATGAAGAGCAGGGGGCCTAACACTGACCCCTGTGGAATACCACAGGTTATTTTCAAGAGACAACTTTCGAATCCCCCATAGCTAACATACTGAAACCGATCTGATAAATAACTGTTTAATAATTTAATGACATTTCCTCGAATACCATAGTTCTCCAGCTTTTCTAACAAGATATTATGCCGCACTGTATCGAAAGCTTTGGAAAAATCTATAAATATACCTAATGTAAAATTCTTATTATCGATAGCATCATGAAGATTTTCTACTGCTGAAACAAGTGCATGAAAGGTTGAGTGCTTACTGCGGAAACCAAACTGATTATCACAGAAAAGATTGTGCTTATTAAAGAAATCAGATACGTTTTTATGTATTAACTTCTCGAAAATCTTAGCAAAAACAGGTAACATTGAAATAGGACGATAATTGCTTATATCAGAAATAGATCCTTTATTCTTATACAAAGGAATTATTTTTGCTGCTTTTAATTCTTTCGGAAAATAACCTTCATTTGCACATTTATTAAAAATATCAGCCAGTAAAGGACTTAAAGTGGTAGCTAAAAGTTTGAGGACCCTAGGAGAATAATACGTACCCTTGCTATTATTAAGCTTACTTATAATATTATTTATTTCTTCACTTGAAAAATTAATATCCGATAGCTCGCTTATGTTCCTCTCAGGCATATATTTATTAAAATCTGTTAAATCCGCGTTAGCATTTTCACCATACGTTTTTAGTAAAAGATCATTAGCAATATTAACAAAATAATAATTAAAATTATGCGCTGCATCTTGATTAGGAAAAACTAGTGATCTGTTTGATCTCTTCCTACCTAGTAAACCGTTTATCAGTTTCCAAGTCTTTTTCAAATCATGTTGATTTGCTTTAAAACATTTA